ATCTTCTAAATATCAGCGACATTGGATTAATCTGCTGGTCTACCAGGGACAATACATTTCCAATAATTCAACTATTTATTTGACCATTTTTATGATATTATTGGTTGATAAGATATAACTTCGTTTAAATTGGAATGCTAGATTAACTTTTAATTCGGCCAGTATTTATAGACATTCCAATACTACGGGATGGCCATGGGAAGACAAGAAAGCAACACTCGATTAATAAAACTCATTTTATTTAGAAATGAAAGATTACAGTTTTTGGATGTGTTCCTGAATTAGTGGAAATCTCATTAATCGCTTGGGCTACATAAGAATTCTTCGTCATTCTACAACCATACATTCAATTATATTGAACTATTCGTGGATAACGTGGATTTTTTAATTATTTTTCCGTATCCATCTCTACTGCAATTAGTGAGCTACAATTAAGGACGAATTAAGCATCTTTTGTCTCTTAATCCACTTATTTTAGATGAAATTATATTTGATGTACAATTAGAATATAACAAGCACATAACAATTGTTGGCTTACCCAAGTCTGCCCTTCTCGAATATTTGTTTTATATTTCCATGCTAATGATTCCATACTGAGTGTGAAATTCAACAAAAAATACAAATGCAATATGGGGTTTTTCATTTTGTATAAATTAAACCGGCATTTTTATTTTCTCAAAGTAATATCAAGGGCAACTCTCTTTGTGATAGAATTGTGATAATACTAAAAAGGCTTGATATGTATTTTTCTGTCTAGATCCCTTATCTTTTTCCAACTTCAATTACATATGTCAATTATATAATATATGTTGGAAATGTATATGTTTGAGTACCCGCTGCCAACAAACACACCAGCAGATTTTCATGCCATCAAATACATTTGAGTTGATATACATTCAAAAGTGTCATATAAACAATAAAAATGTTTAAATTGTAAGCCTAAATTGCATTGCATACTTTTTCAAATGATATATCCACAACCAAATGGATTCCTATATCACTAGAAATGTTAGAAGGATATGATCAGATTAGTTAAACAAAAAACAAATATACAGGTTGTTCCAGAAATAGTGACACATTATTGATTTAGTCATTTTGGAACTTTTTATTTTAAATTCGAATTAATATAGTTATAATGATTTTTGAAGAAAGGAGGTAATATACAACATTTTTGTATAGTTTAGGAAATTGGGTTTTATTTTCTTTATAACTGGTTGTGCTTTTAGATGCTTGTTTGATTGTCTGCATTTTATAATTCCCATTTGTCTATCCTATTTTTCCTTAGTGATGGATCACCTCAGATTGTATTCTCGAAACATTGCTTGGCAATAGGACAGACATGTTAATCAACTGTTATCAAGTTACTTGGGAACAGTTCATCTTATTGTGTTCTGTAAAAATATATCGTATATTAGATATGTTAATAGAAGTAATAGAATGAAAACGTTTATATTAAAGTAAATCGAAACAGTGCACTTATAAACAATTTAAGGTTGTACATAATTAGTGTTCATGAGGTTTTAACATTTTTGATTATGTTTTTTATCTGTTAAATTTATGTGATCGTGAGATTATAAATTAAAATGTTTGTAATCTTCATTTATGGAGGAAATAAAGAAAATACATACATACATACGACTTTTTCTGGTATGTAGATATTCATAATTATTCATTGAAGAGGTGATCTTATAAAGGGACTCGATTGTATAACCTCATATAATATAGTATCAATATACAATAGACAGCATAATGTATCATTTATGATGTGATGGACAAATAAAAATTGACGCATTTTTGGAAAATAACTTTTTAAACAAAATTGCAAAATAGACTTACCCAACTTGCATTTATTAACCACTCACCACATTGAGCGAATCCCAGTCTGTCATGGAAAATAGAAAGGGGTTATATAGAATTACTTGAGGTTCATATTTTGAATGACATTTTTCTCAAAAAATATCAAGATGAGGAGCTACCCCTCTGGTTTTGATTCTCCATAGTATCACGGAAACACATTTCACATTACATTGGAGATAAATCACATGAAAAATTGATAGCATATACAGTTTAAAATGTTATTTTAGATGATTCAGGGTCCACTTTTTGTATCACCTTGTATATGTTGTATATAAAATATGTTGAGTTTTATCTAGTTGTAAAAGTCATTAACTTATTAACAATTTTGTCCCTACTGCACAACAACCTGATGGTTAAACAGTTACTTTTACAATGCTGTTGACCCATATAGAGTTTTACATATTAGTGGGTGCGAGAACAGTCTTTAAATGGATATAATAGTTTGGTTTTTGATTATGATCGTTTGAAATACTAATTTACAGTGAACATTATGATTTGTGTCGATATGTTGTACAACTAAGTTTTATGTGGTTCATTCATTCCTACAAATGAGTACTAGTTGTTACTAGTTGCCATAGTTACCTGTAATTTCCACAAGTCATAATCTTACTTTTTTGTAGAAAATATTTGCATTAATAGTTTATTTATTATTTGTTTTAGTTTATTAATAGTTATTGTTCCACAATATTCAAATATACATTTTTCCTTATGCATTAGAAGGTTCTATGAGTATAGAAAGTTATCTAACTGCAACAAATTAGAAAATGGAGAAATAAAAAATTGGTATAGTGAACCACCCTGTATTTACTTTCAACTACAGGTTTGTTAATAAGCAATAGATGCTCGACTGTAAAACGAATTATAAAATTTTCTAACATTGATGAAGATTCCCTATGCATTCTGGCCAAAAACATTTGGCCGTTTGAAATAGCATAAGACAAATTGAAGTATATCAGGCTGTCGAAGTTCTAAATTCATTTTAAAATGTTTTCATTTCTACATTTACGAGAATCCATGTGGCTTGATAAATTCATTTATGTCTCTGCTTTGAAATATTTATCTTGTATAAGATCGTTTAATGCATTTGCTCTTGGTGTTTCTGACGTCTAATAGAACTAATGTTAGTCTAGCCACAACAATACGTGTTTGCTTTTTCTAAATGTGATACGGGGAGATGGTGTACAGATGTGAGAACTTTGTGGTTTAGTGTTAATAAAATATTCTGTTTTCTGATTTTAAATGGAGTTTGATAATTCAATAAATCTTTATTTAAAAAATGCATGCACAATGGCAATGGGGAACGGGGGAAAATACAAGTATAAACGATTAAAAGAAAAAAGGGACAAAGGAAACAAAGCCGTTGGATATGTGCCGAAGTTACTGTACAATCCGATGACCCAACGTAGGGCAAGCATTGCTCTCATGACCCTCCTTCACCCATCTTTCAGGAACTCATATGAAATGGAAAACCACAAGAACATGAGACATATCATCCATGCTGAAGCTATTGCAATTTAATGTGAAAACATTAAATTAATGTGTGGAATAGAAGATCAGTATGTACACAAGGAAGATATCATACAAGGGGCAGATAGAATCTCACAATATTATACATTTAAACCCATTAGAATTTTTTCCTGGCGAAGTTGCATGAAAAGGAAAGGACAAATAATTTTACCGGACTCTAATTAGTATTGCTATTCAACCGTACATTCGGTTATTCCCATGAACAGTAAATTAGGAATTTCATGTTGCTTATAATTTAATAGAACCATTAGAAATTAATAAATATTATCATTCATTATCAATATTTGTGCTTTTTTGCTTCCGGTATATGTCTGAACAATAGTCATGTTGTTTACATGTACTCTTCAGATAGTATGCTATATTTGAATAAGGAAGCGTCGCTTTTAGAGTATTCGTGAGTTTGGCCGCCTTTGAATCTTCCTATAAGATGTACATGTACGTGTTTATGGCCATTTATATATTTTTTGAACTCTCATGTTATATTTTACATCTAATCCTACAGAAAACAATAACTTCTTTAAACCATATACCCGCTATATAACTAATATGTCTTTTAGATTTAGCAGTTCAACTAGCTACAAGATCGATATATCTAACGATTCTATTTGAAGGCAAGATCGGAACCATCCGTTTTCAACTCTAATATCCATTATTCAGGATATAGGGATTACACGTTTCTTAAGAGAAAACGCAACATCGACATCAATAATTTACTTTATAATCAAACACGACCATAGCGAAGCACGACTGGCAACACTTGCAAAACAAAACATAGAATTCTAAAAGCATGCGAATCAAGTTAAGGCAATCAAATAAAGAACATATATTGTAAAATTATTCAAATCAAAATGCATGTCCAGAAAAGCTCAACTATTTTTTAATAATAGTCGCAAAAGTAACATATATTTTTATGAAGTTCACGTGGAACAAAACACATTTTAGTATCCACAAGTATAAACCAAAAAGTTCACGGTTATTGGTAAGAGTTGTAAGGTAGAGTATTCCCACAATGATTATAATTTAGTTTATGCGTATTGGTGTGATTATGCAAGTGTCTACAACCATACCCTTTAGTAGTCTTGCCATTACAAACCCATAACGCATATTTTAGAAGTGGTTTGTCGTGGACAGTTATTATGCAACTAAAGATCAAAGGGTCCTTATTGTTCGCAGTTATTTTGATGGACGCTTCCCATGCGAAGTTAACTCATGTCCGATGTACGAAATTTAAGTTTAATTAATGACGTTAAGTTAATTAAAGCCGTGCACTGGGAAATTGTGACAAAAAACTAATCTTCTCACTAGCCCTAAAACTACACGGTTGGGATTCTTAGTATTATTTACTGAATATGCTACCTAACCGCAATAGATTCGTTGAAAGCCGAAACAAGCTCGAGGGGAACATAAGAAAATAGTCCTATAAGAGACATGTATTTCTTTCAAATATTATGGCTTCATTTTACAAAAGAAGCATGTTTAATTGATGAAATAGACGTTTTGTAGCATCAGTAAAGGATTTTGTATCTTTTCGTATGCAAATGTAATTACTATTTTCGATTTACAAAGCGACCAAGCGCGGATTGATCGCCTTTATAAATGTTGTTATTTGCCGATCAGTCTAGTCAATACGGAACGAATTCTGAGGGAGCTCTGATTGGTCGAGGATTTGTGCATGATACTTATATGTAAATCGGTGTATATCATCAACTATATTGAGAGAATTGCTCTAAATCACAAGTGTGAGCTACTACTAGCTGAGCTGGATGATGTATGAGTAAAATGAATTCGTATTTTGCAACACCGTTCCTTCAAGCTCTACCTGGTGAGACGCAGAGTGTCCAAAGTAACATAGGATCTCTCCCCGGAAGATTTGAACCGAGCGCCAGTGGAAGCTTTGACATACAGAATGGTGGCCAATGTGCCGGAATGAGCGGACAATTCGCTGGACAGTCTTCTGGTCATTATGATCTAAGTCACTGCTCAAGACAGCCTGTAGAGTCCAATGGATATGAGGCTCAAAGACAATATGGCAGTCCAAATGGCTGGAGTGGCCACGGTCACATCGGTAGCTCAAGTGCCGGGGCAGAGCTCCCACCGGTTAGTAGCGATACCGCCTTTGCAAATGCTTGTAGTAACCTGGGACAGCCGAACAACTTCTCACAGACTCAAACGCTTCCGTTCTACCCATGGATGGGAATAGTAGGTAAGAAAATACATTTCCCCCAATTACGCCATTATTTATGTCAACGGAGTATTTAACTTTATTTATGCTACTGTTTTATGGCGAATACTATCTGTTTTATAACCTGTTATATGGCACTTACTTGCTGTGACATTAATTTTAATTACCCTCCTATCGCCAATCAGGCCTACTATTGTTTTGACTCAGTTAACCTTATTTATGATCATTCCAATGCCTGTCTGGTTAAAGGTTCGAACATAAAGATTCTTTATATTTACTCAATTTGCTTATAAAGCAGTTTCGGAACCTGTATTATGATTCACGATTCAAATTGATTCATCGTTTATAAAGATAATGATATATTGTATCTGATTTTATTTGTTTATGTATATATCCGGCGTTATTCAATGTTTATTATTAATATCATATTGAAAACTGCAATATGGCATGATTGACTAATTTTAGATCAGCATCCAGCGGATGATTTAGAGGGCAATGAATCTGTAATTAAAAGCCAATTCAGTTTCCCCGCCCGCCCCTTCACGGGCCCCCGTGATCCTCTCCCAGTAAACTAGACTATTGCATGCTTAATATAAAGGCATTAGAAATATCTGATTGGGGATTTCTTTTATTGCTTTTAGTTGCCATTAACTGGAGATTGCACGAAAACAAGGACTTCTGGGGACTAAATGAAATAAGTCCATTGATGATTATCACATAGATTACATCTGATACACAATTAAAAGTGTTATTTCTTTAAATGTATTAGATTGAATCCAGCTCACCTCGAATCGGATAGTAAAGATTCTAATGGGGGTTGTTTTATGGCTACGATAACGTGATGAGCTGGTATTGAATAATAATGTGAGAAAATGAGATATATTTGAGAGTGATACTAATAAACCCTACATAAAACGGACCCCTAATCATATTCCTGTTCTATCATGTCAATAATGAGAGTTAGATTGAGTGCCATTATTTCAAATGTTATCCAAATACTATCCTTAATAACTAAATATCAACTAATTGTTATAAATGTCCACTTTACAAAATTGCCGGTAGGGAGGTTACGGTTAATATATCCCTTGTCCACCTGCTACCAAAACTTGCCAAACCCATCTATCATAACTTTATAGACTACTTGGACCTAGATCATTTCTTATTTGTAATTTTAAAATTGACACTCCCGTTTTTAAATTACCTTTAGATCTAATCAAACGGAATACATATCTATTCATTGCCATGATTGATTGCTGAATCAAGGGGAGGGATACCAATACAGATGTCAAGCTCATTTCTAAGCGTGCTGCTACTCCAGAAGACACATTTGTCATCTATCACTCCCCTATCTTGAACAATAATACTTGATATACATTTTGTCAAAGGCATGGTGAGTTTACCTGGTATTCAAAGGTGTTTGTATTGTTAGTTATGAGCTCGGGTTATTGGAGGCGCTGGCGTCTGAATCTTTAATCGATTTCTCTCTATCGTATTCAAAGGTAAAAACCTGCTACTCAACTTAAAATAATAGATATTTGCGACTCGCTTTAACAGAAGTTACAAATTATAAACCCGAAATGAAGAAAAACTATAGTCTTCATTGCAGAGCCAGCTCTCTCATAAATCACGAAATCAAATATCAAAAAGTTAATATGACCATCAGAATGTATATGTTAAGAATTGTATCTAATACAAAGTTCTCTTTCGAATGGATTCAAAATTAGCATAACACACGTTACTTTCCTTATTTGTGGTTCATGGCATTTCATAATGTTGCTCGATGTGCTATGGTATCAATAAAAGCATGATGGATCCATTTGGTTATTACTAAGAATGTTGCATACTGTTACCAATGATGCATTATGCATTGTGCCTCAAACCATACCATTTGAGATGTGCCTTTGTTCTTAATAATCATAACTGTTTTTCTCTGCCGATTGTTCCTCGTTTTCTTTGTATTACCTAGTGTTGCGAAGTGTGTTTTGAAGCTTGTCATATGTTGAATATGAAATTTTAGATTTTAGTTCTTTTCAAAACTGTTGATCCGTACTGTTGGATCCCTAACTTTTTAGAAACCTTTCATCGATTAAATATGACTTTCTAAATGTTTGTTTGCAATTAATTTCTACATCAGACAAACAACCAAAACCATACTTTGTTAGTGATGTTACATGACAATATATATACTATTATATGTTAACTAAAATGACTTACAATAATAATTTTGGGATGACAATTTTGGCAAGCATGGCAAAAAACCAAATCAAGGTGGTATATGTTCATTTCATCTGATCGAGTTTCCTTTCATGACCCTTTAACTTTTTACAGTTTGAGTGGCGATAAATTGATATCTCAGGCAGGTATAAACTTAGAATTATGATTTATTTATCCCGTATAAGATGCTTTAGAAACCACAACCGATGTTCCCTCAAGAGCCCACAGTGATATTAAATCGTTTCAAATGCAGGCCCTATAAATTAAAAGTATATACATATTAGTACAAGTGCCGCAGCAATATTTAAATATCATTAGATTTACACAAAAAATACAAAATCATCCTTTCATCTCATATAAAACAATGCTACAATCGATGTGTTTTATAAACAATTACTGTTTTGGAAATGTTCACAATTCCCCAGTTTGATTTCAAGTTCCGATTAAATTGAGGTTGCGTTTACTATATTAAAATGGGTGGATGTTCACATTTTCCTTCAAGGCGATACTATTATACAGACAGAACACTATCGTGGATGATTCAAGCATCATAAGTGTATCTTTAGGAAGTTGTGTTTCTTCTAGAAATAGGACAGAATCCACTTTCAATATTCATAGCAATTTTCGTTTACTTACTCAGACATTAGTAGATAATGCATTACGTGAAATATGAAGTAAAAACGACATGAAGTTCAAAGGACAATGATATATTTGAGACTGGCATTAGTGTTTGTGTCATGCTTAATTCTTATCGTACACAAATTCCTTTCTTCCCCACATAAAAGCAGTTCAGAGAGGATAAGAGGCTTGATGCAACGCTGTGGTTTCGAATTCAATTAAAAATGCAACTTGTCGTGTGAAGTTTCTATACGAGACAGTAAAGTATAGATCAATAATAACAAATGTTTTTTTAGGGATCAGATGTGTTATTTAGTTGGGTTCTCGTAATTTTATGCAATGTCCTGTTCAAATTATGTAAAGAGAAATCAGGTAGCTTGCTTCTATGGCTGTTTACATATACTTTAAATTTAAGTAATGCGAAATATGGTTTGTTTTGCTATTATGACTTTATGCTTTCTTTTGTGGTGCTACAGCCTTGTTGGTAGTGGCGATATGAGTTTGGTGTTTCTTTAACACATCAACGGGTTAATAAAAACCAATTATTTTGTGTTTTCTTCATATTTTATCAATGTAATATTTCGTATATTTTCAGGCCCCAACTCATCCCAAAGAAGACGAGGTAGACAAACATATAGTCGCTATCAAACTCTAGAATTGGAGAAAGAGTTCCAGTTTAACCATTACCTGACGAGAAAAAGAAGAATTGAAGTTGCACACTCTTTATGCCTAACTGAAAGACAGATAAAAATATGGTTTCAGAACCGACGTATGAAGCTAAAGAAAGAAAAGCAACAAATAAAAGATCTGAACGAAAGTACAAAAGGTGAAGAGGAAGAAGATAAACCATCAGACTGATATTTCTTTGGAGATTGCTATGGAGGAACAGGGAAGAATCCTAGTCTCAGATTATATAAATACTTTGAAAGACATCTCTATGTACATACCTCTACATCATCGCATCCTGGTGACATGTACCAACATTTGCAGAATCTCAACTTTTGTATTGTTAGTAAAGGTATAGGTTAATCATTGGTGTGAGTCATGTTTCATCTACAATGTTGTGTTCAACCAAGTCAATGGAACTGAGAGACAAAACATGATTATGTAATATCGTGTATACCTAGCATAACATACCTTGACTTGCTGTCTTAGTATGTCTCCATACTTCATATTTCTTCATAAAAGTGAAGGTAAAAAAGTGAACTACCTGACATTATAATAAGCGAATTACGAGGAACACAATGTTCTCATTTGACTGTAGAAGTAGAACTTGTAGACTAGATGTACTTGAAAGATTTGGATTGAAAGGGTAACTAAAATATAGATGTGGATTCCACTGACATCATAAACAAGATTGTCCCTTTTAGGGAGACATTTACTGTATAACCGGGTAAATGTGACAACATGTATTTAACTGTGCATTAAGGTACATGATGTCTCCCACCGTTGATATGATAAAGGGGTAAATATGTGCAAAATGAATGGTAAAGTGCGTTTCTCTGGTTTTAACATAGTGAGATGAAAAACAAAGAGACGCACGAGTTATATGTCAAAGTACGGAATTGACTTGTAAATAATTTCTTATTATGTCAAAGCTTAGATTGGTACCGGTCGGTTATTGTATACATATTGTATATTATAAAGGGATTGTATACAATAAGCGATCGCTAACAATAAATGGCTATGACCAGTTATCAGGGATTTATAAAAAGTAACCATCATAATATATTACACATTTATTATATTGATATTATAACTAAAGGTAATAAAATCAGTACTCCCAATTATGTTATTTAAAGCTGTTTGGGGAAATAAGGTACAGTGTTGAAGTTGTTGTTGTCCAAAGGTTCGTGAATTATATCAGTTTTTTATGTGTGTTCTATAATATAATGATTTATTGGACTAAACTTACGTCCATATATTGTAAAATAAAATAACCTATTGGGAGCATGATATTCTAGAACCAATCTTGGAAGTCTTGTTTTTACAGATAAGGCTGGTTTGAAGATGAGTCTAGTTTAACATGCATTTACCAGAAAGATCATCCGTGTAAAAGTATTCGGAAAAAATACAAAAAATATATTTCACATTTGACAAATACATTAATAGTAACTTATATGAACTACATTATACTAAACCTTATTCCATGAATTCGAGAACACAAAATCACAGTACATTGACCTTATCAATAGTTCTATGAGTAAATAATCTCTATTCATGATGAATATGTTCCTCTGTTATTACTTATATGAAATGATATTAAAGAAAAACAGATATTGTACAAGAGAGCAATCATAAAGAACTAAGAATGTGTGAATAGCATACTTTGTTCTGATTCTATTGCATAGAGTATCCCAGTGATTCAATGGAATTTCAGAACAATGATAGCCCAAATCATTTTCCCCAGTATACATTTGATCTTCAGTACACAGAAAGTATGGCAAAAAGTCTAAAGCAGATGTTAACTCCTGGACTGATTTGTATAGACCTTCTATTTAACCATCATTCTTTTCGTGAGCTATCGTGCAATGTACTTCATGGTTACAGTATTTGGTCTTGTAAATAGATACCACTGTATGCTTTTGTGGTTTAAATGTGCATGGTACAACGTAAAGTTACTTACAATCCAGGGTAAGGTGGTGAATTATTTGGTTTCCCGTGTTGTTCGTAGCCCAAAATAGTGAAGTCTTTACCAGCACAGTATTATTGTACATGTAAAAGTGTCATAATAAATGGTACATGCACTAATTCAATTATATTTGTTTTTCAATATGTCATTATTTGCAGAAGAGTTATTTATTATAGTTCAGAGCTATCCCCGAAGTACATTGCTAAACAAGATCAGAGATCAATGATAGTTATACAGTCAGTACTGTGTATATATGAATGTGTATGCATTTATGCGTTTCAATTTGACCGTTGGTATGTCATATTATGAAGACTAGTGTCAAGACTAGGAAACCTGTTTTCAAAGAGGTTCATTGGTCATTGCTTGTGTTTTAAATTGGCATTTTAATGACAAGATTAACTCAAATATACGGCCTCGTTTTAATATTCTCCTTAACATTTGATAGGTTTTGATATTGAGTCACATAACATTGAGTACCTCTCTGGTGCCACGGTACTGGTGCGCACTTACTTTCTCATTTATGTATGTGTATATAAACAAAAAACAATAACTTCAATACGATATCACCTGTACCTTCAATAAATCTTTCGAGTCATTGGTTAGGAAATGTTAGGAATACATAATAGAGTTTGATGTTTGATTTGTCATGGCTGAGAAAATCGTCTCTGACGGTATTTATTGTGAATTCATTTCGATTCACAAGGTTTCAGTTGCTCTCTACCTCTTTGAATCCAGCGGAAAGCGACAGTGTCATTTGTTTTCTTAAATGCTATTTGCGATTCCTTCGATATTGTCCGTTGTGTATTCTCATGATTTTACTTAAATGTTGAACAAAGATATGTAAATTATATAGATCAAACCAAATATTAAGTAAATCTTGAGAAATACATGTATGTATGATCAACAAATAGATAGGTAAACTGAGTCCTACTGTATTTTCCGCTTTGAATCGTTGTTAACCCATGTTAATCAGATTTGCCATGGTTGATAAAATTGTTTTCTAACGGTAAGTACCACCAATTCATTTTGATTTCTCAGTATTACTGTTTGTCATAGAGACGTGTACACTATGCAAATTAAACATCAAGCGAATCCCAGAAGAATAAAAGACAAGATAGATGGATGAAATGAGGTTTCGTATTTTCTGCTTTGAACAGATGTCAACTGAAAACATAATTGTGGATGATATTTCTCTTTGCAAACAATTGTTGATGGAAGCATAATTTATTGTTTTCTGGGGTCATTTCCATTTCCATTAGATGATACTTAGAACTTTGAATCTTAAATCATGCAGGAATTTGCGACTAAAATATAACAAAAGTCGTATGAGTATGAAGGAAATATTTACATCCATTTTTAGAGTCAATTTACAGAACATTAACATTCAAATCTGATTATCTTACGAAGATTCAGTATTCCAAAGTCATGCGCGCAAAAAATATTAATGAACTTAGTGTAAATAATTGGGACGTAGCTTTTGTCGATGTGATGTGATACTTCAAGACTTAACCAATGAATCATTGGTTTGTGACTTAATTAAAGCACGATGTTATGATTAGTAGTTGAAACGAGGGTGATAGCCCGAGAGCAGAAGCTTATGTGCAAGGGAAAGAGCGCATTAAGCAGTTACAATTCATTGAGTCGGTGAACTTAATTTTTGAAGTACATAGCATCTACATTTTTAATAATACCATTTAGATAGTAACAATGTTTGAATACTGTTTTACTTTAAATCATGATTCCAAACCTCGTGGTACTCTTATGGACTTTTAGAGTGGATCTTATCTGTTCCACATCAATCATTTGAGACTGTGACTGTGAAAACTAGTCTCTGCAAATATGGATGTCAAGAGTGGTGAAGATATAATTGTTCATTTTCTTGGCGCTTTTAAGCATATGCATCGTACCACACAGATGTTTTTTGTAAAAAAACGTTCATTGGGGGTGCATCTTTCAATCCAAATGCATACATGTTGCTAAAACAAGATAGAGTTAGAGATATAGAAGACATATTCAACAATGGGATTATATTTATTGCTATATACCTTTATAACCGTCTGGGGCAAATTTACTTTTGTCTGGGAAAGTAAAACACCATCACTCTTCACAAAAAGATTCTAATAATAACACAATTCTTTTAACATACGCCATTTGTTTAAAAACCTTTTTCAACATTGTTTCATGAAAATTACAACATATTACAGAGTGGGCCAATAAAAACGTCCATATTTTTAATTTTGTAATATCTTCGCTGTTATGTTAGATATATCCATAAATTATATATCATTTGAAATATATTTCAATTTCCAACAAAGTGATGTATGATTCATAAATTATGAATGACTATTGGAAACTCCATGGTGTAGTGACAGTAGAAAACAACATTTCGCTATTTGTTTTGAGCTTAATACATAATATTACATTGCTTAATCAACACTTTTAGGCTTTTATATATGAATATGAGGTATTGAAGTTGGGTTTTATTGTTTTTAAATCATTAAAATAATCATGGAACCCATTTTAATGCATTGTTAGTTTGTTATAAAGTAAGATTGTTACATAAATTGATATTTGCTTCAAACATGTTTTGCAGAGAAATTCAGTTGAACTTTTGCCATAACCCATGATATGGAATACATTTGCGCAATATGCTCTGCTGGTTCCTATTATTGCATTGTCTGCCATTCAGAATGTCAGTTAAGTTAAGTTATATATAAGAACAACAGCATTATTGATCATTTCAGGCATTATCTCCAAAATATCTTGAAATGAGTAAATATTCAACTATTTGATGCGGATTTATCCGCTGTATAATATTACCAATACCTATCAAAATGGTAAAAGAACTCAAAAGTATTGTATTTTGAAGGTCAAGATTGTTGATTTGTGTATCAAATGAAAGAAAATTATTAATTTCCAATAGAATTATATCCCCAAAGCTGACACAGGGGTCATATCTGTCTGGTCAGTTTTTAGCATTCCGTCTTCAGCAATCAGTATATCATTATTTTGACCCATGTGGTAACGTTATTTTAAAACAAATATTTATTTATGTGAAATGAATTATATATCATTTTGTTGGAAATTGAATTGTTTTTCCGATGATATATGATTTAAACATTTGTCTGTAATACAAGTATTAAAAATGCTGTAGCAAAAACAAAAATATGGACGTTTTTTGGCCCAGCCTGTATATGCTTCTTTATGATATGATTTCAAAGATTGA